GTTAATATCTTCAGCAGATGCTTAATTTAGACTTAATAGAGTATGATATGTAAAAACCTAAGTCCCATTACCAAACAAAAAATAATTTAATCTTATACACAAAAGATTGCATAATTTGTTCCTTAGGATTGTACAATTTGAGGTAGGTAGAAAAAAAAATCACCTTTTTGACTCACATTGAAATTACTAGTAAGGACAAAATGTAATTGTAAGAACTGTTTGTAATCAAACAATTAAAAGAAAAAAGAAAAAAATCAAATAAGTACTGAAATTCAAAATTAAATATAAATAATAAAAAATATTGAGGATTTAGTCGATACATACTCCTACATCCATTTCTACTCTTGGATCTTCCTGTCCTAACTGTAACTGTATTCTGGACAGAACTTGGAAAGTTGATTACTTCCTCAATTCTAGTGGCAGATCTTGTTTAATCTTTACATCAGTAATGGACAATGAGAAATGAGGAGGAAAGTTGTTAAAAGGTTTCCAGGAAAGACACCACCTTCTGAATGTTGTGTCTCAGTAGGACAGGAATTCCTGCAGCCATCTTGACACTTCCTGATGGTAGAGCTAAGATATAATAGGGCAAAAGCCAAGAGACTCCCAAGTGGTAACAGAAGTCTTAGTATACCATGCCTGAAGATACTTTAACTGAATATTTTGTTAGGTAAGATTTCCTTTTCTAGTGTGAGTTGGAATTTCCTGTCAGCTAAAGATACCATGAGGATACTTAATTTGTTCTACTCTTTAAAATGCAGATTTTTTTTTTAAAAGTTTTTTTATGTACTGTTTTATCTACCAAAAAAGTTATACTATAGGAGGTATATTTTCTAAATACAAGTAATCTAATTAGAAATCCTCAATAGAGGATTGTTAGCTGAATTTTATTTTAGCAATTAAATGCAGAAGTGTTTTAAATATAGTCCATTATTCCTCATGAAAACTTGGTCTATATTAGTGGTTCTTCTCAATCATGGTCCCATAATTATAAAAACTGTAGAAGAAGTATTAATTCATGTGGAGTTGGTCTTTTGAAACATGAAGTATGAGTATCTTCATTTAAAAATGGAAGTTGTTTTCAGCTTACTCCTAAGAGAAACATATCTTTAGAAAATTAGAAGTACTTAAAACTTAAATAAAACATCATTTAGACATGTCTTTACCATGAGAGATTAAACCTCATTTGACCTTTCCTCAATGGATTTATAAAAACTATTATGAACATGAATTTACCGATTCTAAACCACTTTAAAGTTTATTTTTACTAACTATAGATTTTCATTTAAACATTTAAAAATATTTAAAAACTTAAAAATTTTATTTATTTATTTATTTTAATGTTTATTTATTCTTGAGAGAGACAGAGAGAGAGACAGAGCGTGAGCAGGGGAGGGGCAGAGAGAGAGGAAGACACAGAAAACTGAAGCAGGCTCCAGGCTCTGAACTATCAGCTCAGAGCCTGATGTGGGGCTCAAACCCACGAACCGTGAAGACCATGACTTGCCCTGAAGTTGGACGCTTAACCAACTGAGCCACCCAGGTGCCCCAAAATAATTTTAAATGTTTAAATAAATGTTACAAGGCACATTTATTGAATTGGCTGTGCATGCAAGCAGGCATCCATACAACAAAGTTGGCAATGTGTGTGTGGAGAGGGAGGCAAGAATAGAGTTGCTCAAGGCACCTATAGAAATTAGCTCTTACTGGAATGCTTATCAGAAAAGTAAAGATTCTTATTTCTCAAGACACGGGCATAATAATTAAATTTTCTTCAAAGAATGAACTTACACTGTCAACTAGGATTACTCGATACTGTCACACACACACACACACACGCACACAATTGAGAAAGCAAACATTTAAATAAATTAATCAGGAAAATCCACGGGATTATGTATTTTTGTGAGCTTAGTCATTTCTCACAGTAAATATTAAGAATAAGCAAATTCTCCTAAAATGGTAGAATATTGTGTCACGAAGCTACAGCTACAATTCATCCAGACATCTGATCTTATGTCCTATTAATTCCTTGTGCACATAGCAGAGAACTCAGTTCCCTGATATTATCTCAACAATCCATTTACAAGCATGATGAAATATTGTTCAAATATTTGAACACTTCGATAGACTGGATTATCCAGAAAGAGATGTCAAGGCTTGACACGCCCACTACACTTCCCAGCCCTGTTGCCTAGTCTCCTTCTCAGTAACGCTGTGCTTTTGAAGTAAATACTTCACACGGTGATTCACGGGCCCAGTGAATTACAGTAGGTATGAGTGTTACAGAGATTCTTACAGAAGGTAGGTATTTACCAAACATATTAATAAAGGTTGAAAAGGAAGACAATTTTAAAGGATTTACTATAGGCTGTTGATAAAATACTTCACAGACAAAAGTTGTGCTTAGAAATTGTTGAGAATATAAAACTCTGAAAGTAACAGAAGATAACGCCAATTAATTATGTGCGTGTGTGTGTCTGCATGTATATTTGAATGGTTCAAAGTGTTTTGAATCATGACATCAAAGCCATCTAAGTAAAAGACTAAAAAATCTGAGTTAAAAATTGAACTTTGGAATGACCCTCAAAACTACAAACAAAGTGGAAATATCAGGGGAAAACAGTCTAACATTTTGTCCTTAATATGTAAAGAAATGTCATAAATCCACACAAATGAAAAACAACCCAAAAGAAAAACAAACTAAAATCATGAAACATTAGTTCACAAATATGAAAACGCATATGGCCAACAGATAGAAGAAATGCTGTTTAACTTTTGTATAATAAAAAAAAAAGTAACCATGAAATATTCTGTTTTATGCATCATGTTGAATTAGATAACAACTTAAACATAATCCCTTGTTCTTGGAGAATATGGAAATGGACAATCCTCCACACTGATAATGGAAATGGCACAAATTTTCAGGAGAACATTTGGGCAATATTCATCAAAGTTATTTTAAAAATTGCTCACCTTTTAAACATTAATTCCAATGAACTACATATTTTTGTAAGAAAATAATTGGATATATCAGCATACATAAATTTGCAAGGATGTTGATCTCCAAGCTGTCTATGACAGAAAAAAAAGGGGGGGGGATAGGAAACAATGTAACAATCTTGATACATGTGTTTCAAGAGGAAATTCATTATATTATGGTACAAACATTGAAGGAACAAAACTCATTAAAATTATAATGCAGATAATTATTTGTGGATATGCAAGTTGACTATGGCATACTGTAAAATAAAGAAAATAATTTATAAAAGTTATATGATTCTTTTTTTGTTAAAGTATCTATGTGTATTGTATAAAATTTGGGAAGATAATGCAACAAATTTTAACAGAAGATTTGTCTGCATAATGGTATCATATGTTGCTGTAAATTTTTTCGTTTTCCATAATTTTTTCATTGTTCAAGAGACTTTTAATTTAGAAAATGTGCCAGAATAAACATATAGTTATATGAAAATAAACAGAAACAGATTTTCTCATTCTCTCATAGCTAAAGTATTGCCAAAGAAAATATTTTAATGTATCTTTTGTATTGATAATATAAGAAATGGAAGATTTGAATATATGGTTACAGGAAACCACTAAGCAGATAAAAAAATAAAATAAAATAAAACAGCAACAACAAGAACAACAAACCTATTCTGCAGACACCTTTGGTAAAACAGAATTTTAAAAGTAATTATTCAAATGTAAATAAATAACTCTTGTCTCGGTTTCCAAGGTGGATTTCAAATAGTACATGATAAAAATCAATATAATAAAGCCCTTTTTAAAAAAGTATAAAACAAAGTTGAATAATATAGATCAAAGGTAGGAGAGAAAGAGAGACCTGGAAATGGGACCAAAATAAAAATTTTACTAGAAAATAGGCAAATTGATGAAATCTCAATTTGTCAGAAAATCAGTGAGCTTCTGATAAATCAAGGCTAATACTGAATGTTAATTCAGTAGCACTCGTGGTCTAATAAAAAGAGACATGAGTTAATAGAAACAAAGAAACATACTTTCTGAACCCTGAGATAATATCATTACAGCGACCAATATAACATATAGATTGAGAAGCATTTGTTAAGAAGAATTTCTATGTTCTCTATATAGGACTTTGATTAATATTGGTGCCTGGTAAAAAGTTAAGGCATAATCCTAAACTGTACAAATAGGAAGAGAATTAAGATAAAGCTTACTTTTTGTCACCTTGATACAAGTATATAACATAAGGAATGTTGAAGTTAAAGTTTTACCACTCAAGTCCCAATTTTGATAATCAACAAGTCCCTGAATTATAGCCTACCAATGGAAAGAACAGCAAAATATCCTATCAATCAGATTTGTGGGCAACATTAAAAAACTCCATCATTAATTTCAGCCATCAGAAAAACAATCATATCTGTATATAAATTGAAAAGAAACTGAACTACTTCCTACTATGTTAAACATTAATTCAGAATGAAATCACATACTGAATTTACACTAGCAATTCTTAAACCTTTGGTTTCTTTTAAAAAGTTGAAATGAGAAATTAGAAAATTTCTGTTTGTAAAAATAAATCACTTTGTGATTCTTAGGTATAAGAACTATTTTTAGCATATTTTCACAGAAGAAATTAAAGCTATCAATATTATTAAAATAAGAAAGAAAATATGATATGAACTCAAATAATTACCTCACTGCAGATGGTTCAAAATGTAATAAAAATATATCTAATTATTCTTATTGCTATGAATACTAAATCAAAATCAGAATAATACACAACATTATAATTAGAAGATGTGCCCCTGTGAAATGAATCAAGCTTCCGAGATTCATTTATTTTTCCACCAAAGAAAAAATAGCTTCATATACAAAACCTTTTATCACAAAGTTTACTAAATCAAGGGACCATCAGCTGGGATTTGAAATGTTTCTGAGGCTAATTCAGGCAGAGATCACTGTCATTCCCAAGGCTGCTGCAAACACGGGCTGCCGAGGTAAGTGTTTCTCTCCTAGGGCTTCTGGGCCAGGGCAATGTAGAGTGGCTTGGAGCCCAAGATACGGCCATTCATCTCAGCCATTGCTTTAGTGGCCTCCTCAGGAGAGGAGAAGCAGATCAAGCCAAACCCTTTGCTTCGCCCTTCTTCCCGCATTATCTTGACTCTGCTAATTGATCCAAATGAAGAAAATTCCCTCCACAGTTTCTCATCATCAATGGTGTCATCGAGATTCTTAATATAGAGCTTCATGCCTTGGCACCTCCGAAATCTTTCCTGTTTCAGCTGCTCAAACAGTTGCTTTAACTCGGCCTGTCGCTCGGATTTCTTTTGCGCCCGGCCTACAAAAAGCAGCTGTCCGTTTATATCCTTTCCATTCATTTCTTCAACGGCCTTTTTGGCAGCCTCATGGCTATCAAAACTCACAAAGCCAAAGCCTTTGGATTTCCCACTGGAATCTGTCATCACCTTCACACTCAGGGTTTTACCATATTTACTGAAAACTTCCTTCAGTCTCTCATCATCCATGTCATCTCCAAAGTTTTTGATGTAAACATTGGTGAATTCATTGGCCTTGCTGCGGAGCTCGGCTTCCCGATCTTTACGGTTTTTGAATCTGCCGACAAACAGCCTGCAGTCCTTAAGCAGAGCCCCATTCATCTCCTCGATGGCCCTGTCGGCTGCGATCTGGTTCTGAAAGTGCACAAATGCATAGCCCCTAGATCCTTGGTCATCACTCATCACCTTGGAGGAAAGGATCTTCCCAAAGGCTGAAAAATGTTCATAGAGGGTTTTGTTATCAATGGATCTGTCCAGATTCTTGATGAACACGTTCCCGATGCCCGACTTCCTTAAGTAGGCATCGCGCTGAGACCACATGAGGCGGATGGGTTTGCCCTTTATCGTGTCAAAGTTCATCGTGTCCAGGGCCCTCTGGGCATCGGCCAGCTTCAGGAAGTTCACGTAGGCATAGCCCAGAGAGCGGCGGGTGACCAGGTCCCTGCAGATGCGGATGGACAGCACAGGCCCCACGGTGCTGAACTTTTTGAACAGCAAGTCCTCGGTGACATCTGCGTGGAGGTCACCCACGTACAGCGACGCCTGGCGGTACTTCGCTGCCACATTCATCTCCTTGCTCCTCCCCACCGCGAGCCCGTCCCGAGGAGCTCTCAGTGCGATTCCTGCAGGAGGGGTCACCAGGACACGGTTTGGGCCTGGCTCGTGCGTGGTGGCCCCAGGATCACCGCTTAGAGGCTGTGAGATGGTGTTCAGGTACAGTTCCACCAGGTTAAGAGCAACAGCCTCATCAAAAAGCACCCCCCCACCCCCACCCCGGCCCAGCCCAGCCCCGCAACCAATTCGGCTCTCTTTGGAAGATGGCAACAGAATTCTGAGCTCTCCAAGAAAGGCTGATAGAACCAGACGCTTCTTGCCCACCAATGTGTGAGAGATCTTCAAGGGGGTGGGCTGGCCCCCAATCTGAGCGTTTTCTACAGACACTCGGGTTGCTGGTTTCTGAATAAAAAATAGGCCTCGCTCAGGCTGCTATAAAGTTACAGCCTCCGGGGGAAGAACTCCACAAGTGGCGCTCGAGGCGGCTGCCGGGGGCCGCGGAGCGTGGGCGGAGGGCGCGGGGCCGCGGCGAGACCCGAACCCCCCGAACCGCCCGGGGGGGGGGGGGGGGGTTGCCGAGTCCTGCAAGCGCCGCCGCCAAGGCGCGGCCGGGGCCAAAGCGGGCTGCGAGAGCCCTGGCAAAAACCCCGGCCGCTCTCGGAACCGCAGACCCGGCGCGGCGCCCGGCGATGGGCGGGTGGGGGGGAGGGGCGGACAGACTGACGGACGGGCTCAGCGGCGTTGCACTGAGCAGGGCTGGGGCTCACCCGGGCAGCCGGCGGTGGCTTATAAGGGCTGGCGGCTGGCGGGAAACCCGGAACTCGCGCGCTGAACTTCCCGCGCACCCGCTGCCAAGTGGGATGTTTTCTTTTTAATATTTTTTGAGAATGTTTGTCTTCCCCCCGCCCCTCTCACACATTTCCCACCTCCCTCGGACAGTTGCGCCGAGAAGCAGGAGGCGGTGACTGGGGTGGAGAGAGGCTGACTAGGGGAGTGGCCCTAATAAACCCACCCGCCTGCGGGGCTGTGCACGGGTCTGACTGAAGGAGCTTTTTCCCACTGTGGATCGGGGCTGGTCACTTCCTCGCTGAAAACCCTCCAGTGGCTTCCTTTGACTCTTGGATGAGGCCCAACATCCTCACCTTGTTGTACGAAGTTGAAGTTCTGCAGTATCAGTTCCAGTCTCAACTTGCTGCTCGGTTTCCCTTAATAAAATCCATGGCATGACTTTTTTTTCTTTCTTTTCTTTTCTTTTTCTTTTTCTTCCCCAGGGCCACCTTTACAAAAATGTGCTTCTCAACCATCAGTTTAAATGCTCTCTGCAAATAGAAATTTTCCTTAAGTGACTTCTGAAAGTTTGTATTTTGCTCCTAGAAACTTACACTACATTGCACTTTCATAGCGTTTGTTTAATTACAATCTAATGTGATTCCATGGTGGTAGGGGCCATGCCCATTTTATTCCTAGTCCAATTATGGGACTTTCAGAAATGGGATGCTCAATATTTATTAAATGAATTGATTGCATGGAACGGATGTGATATTTAACCTGAGGCCGATGTTCACCCTCAGAGACATGAAGATGGTGTCCCTTGCCTCAGAGTGTTGTAAGGAGGCTTGGATGAATGAATGTATCTGGAAATGTCTAGCACAGTATCTGACAGTAATAGCTTTTCAGTAGCATTGATTTTATTTACCGTAGCTTTACATAAATTCCTTAACATCATTCTCATAAAACCTTAAAATTTGCATCCTAACACATCTTAGGGATAGTCACCTGCAAAACTGAGTTGGGTGGACCACTTTATATAAGGCTAATTTAGTGCTTTTCAAACTTTAATGGGCATAGGAATCACCTGGGGATTCCGTTTGAATGCAGATTCTGATGTAGCAACTTGGAATGGACTGGAAATTCTACCTTTCTAAAAAGCTCCTGAGTGATGCAAATTCTGTTGGTCTGTGAACAATGCTAAATATCAAGACTTGAAGCTAAATTAGTGAGTCTAAATCTTTTCTAATGGTGACATTTTTCTAAAGTAAGAACTACAAAAAATATATTTCTCTTTCAGAAGATAATGACACTCTAGCAGTCAGTAATATATTATTTTAAAAAAACCCACTAAAATTAGAGTGGGATTTTCATTATCAAATCCAAATTGCTTTTAACATATCTAAAATGGAATAATAGGTCCATGACTCTTCCCAAATTAATCCTGATTAATGGTTACTGTTTGTGAAAATTATCACTTGTTGTTCCTGTAAAATCATTAGTTCAAATAAGTAATCTTTTCTTCAACCATATCTTCAAGGCTACAATTTAAAAAAGGAAGAGTGGCACCCACTCACTCAGTGAGTGGCTCAGTTGGTTAAGCAACTGACTCCATTTCTGCTGAGGTCATGATCTCATGGTCCTAAGGTGAAGCCCCATGCGGGCTCTGTGCCGATTGTGGAGCCTGCTTGAGATTCTCTCTGCCTCTCTTCTGCTCGTGCATCAGCACGCGCCCTTTCTTTCTCAAAATAAATAAATAAAACAAAATTTTTTTTAAACAAGGAAGAAAGACCACTCATGTAGTTGGTAGATGCATCAATGGATAGCAGCCACATTCCAGTACATGCTTTAAAAATTCAGACACTGTTTGGCATTGTATAGCATAAATAAAAGCGACCATCATATTCACTATTATCACTTTTTTAAAAAGTTTATTTATTTTGAGAGAGAGGAAGAGAGCACATGCACGTGAGCAGGGGAGGGATAGAGAGAGTCAGGGAGAGAGAGAATCCCAAGCAGGCTGTATGCTATCTATGCAGAACCCCAATCACGCTCCGGCTCACCAACTGTGAGATCATGACCGGAGCCAAAGCCAAGAATCAGATGCCTAAACAACTGTACCACACAGGCACCCCAATGTTATCACTTTCTTTAAGAAAAAAAAGAAAAAAGAAAAAGAAAGTTCTTACCTATGTATTTCCTGTGAATTTTGTCACAAGACATTTTATTTCTAGGAAAACTGTCTAAGATCATATTAGGTCTTTGTATAATTGTGATTCAATTATAGCAAGATACCAAAATATTTCAAGAACTCATGAGATTTTCATTTTACTTTATGTGATCACTTCACTCAACATACTGTGAAACGGGAGGAAAAGTTTCCAAATTCAGAAGTTAGTCTTACATTTTTGACTCCAATCGTCTTATGTGCAGCAGATACTGAGCTCAATTTGTTACATTACCACTAATCATGATCCTTTCTATTTATTCTGTGTATTACACTGTTTTTATTTTTATGTTATAACCAAGCAAGAATTTTTAAGCATCTATGGGTCTTTCCTCTCTTTAATTCTCTAAATCTCTCTCTCTCTCTTTTTTTTTTTTTTTGTTAGTTGTGTTCATTCACTAATTTCTTAATTTGGGTGGTCTTTCCATTTACCCTGTTTTTCCATTCCAGTTGCCATGGTCTTTGCCCCATTTCATTGTGTATTATTGCATTCGTTTTATTCATTCATCCTCTTTTGCCTAGATGCCAGTCTGTCTATATGCCAGTCCATCTTGCCTTTTGCTGCCAGAATTAATTTTGCTAAGATTCCTTCCACAAGATTTTAGTGAAAAATAACAAATGGCTTCCAAAACTTTGCAAAATCAATCCTATCAGAGCTGCATACATCTTTTGTCAAGCTAACCCTTCATTTGTTTTATATGCACATGCAGTTCTTTGATTATCCAAATTCTGTCATTCTTCAGCTCTGTTTGCGCCCATATTTTTTTTTTTTTCTCTCAATAGCCCAGCTGACCGGCACTGATTACTTCTCCTTTTGTGAAACGATTTATTTAACATATTCATTGTGTATATGAAACTAATTTTGGCATGAGTTCATTGGCTTTGATGAACCTGGACTTAAAATTGATATCACCCATGATGTTGCCTTATGCTTTTCTTTGCCAATTGTTACAGCTATGTATATTGCGGACTTGAATGTCCTCTTCCTCAAATATTCTGAACATATTTCATTTAAGTGCCACTTTTTTGCCTCATTTTGAAGTAAGTTGTAATTTTGTCTATGTTTCTTTTCGCTCACTTGTCTCTTCAATGTACAGATTTGTTACGTGGGTGGCTCACAGAATTAAGCGTGAATAAGATGCTACTTTGCTTAAATGACAGGAAAACTGTTAGTGTTTCTATTCACTGATATTCATGTCAATGCAGGTCGTTGCTTACTTTGGTATTTATTGTGTAGAAATGAATAAATAGCGGGGCACCTGGGTGGCTCACTCGATTAAGCATCCAACTCTTGATTTCAGTTCAGGTCGTGATCTCATGGTCTAGTGAATTTGAGTCGGGCTCTGTGTTGACCCTGCAGAACCTGCTTGGGTTTCTCTCTCTCTCTCTCTCTCTCTCTCTCTCTCTCTCTATCTCTCTCTATCTCTCTCTCTCTCTCTCCCCCCACCCCCCTTCTCCTGCTTGAACTCTCTCTGTTTCTCTCAAAATAAATAAACTTGGAAAAAAAAGAAATGAATAAATAGCTATTTTGAGTATTATAATGCATTTTAAAATAGAAATCAGTTGCATTAATTAGACCAAAGTAATTTCTGACACCTACATGAATCATTGCTCTGATGTAGTCAACTATTAATAAAATTTTCTTTATTTTTGCTCAAAGTGATCTTTATTGTCTTAATTGAAAGTAATTACATGAGTGGGGCGCCTGGGTGGCGCAGTCGGTTAAGCGTCCGACTTCAGCCAGGTCACGATCTCACGCTCCGTGAGTTCGAGCCCCGCGTCGGGCTCTGGGCTGATGGCTCAGAACCTGGAGCCTGTTTCCGATTCTGTGTCTCCCTCTCTCTCTCTGCCCCTCCCCCGTTCATGCTCTGTCTCTCTCTGTCCCAAAAATAAATAAACGTTGAAAAAAAAAAAATTTAAAAAAAAAAGAAAGTAATTACATGAGTAAAACTTGCTTACATTATACTCTGAAAGTGCCATGTTTAATATTTAGTCCAAAGTACATTGTATCTTTCAGATT